TATTCATGTAAAATAGATTTCTGCCCTCGGTAGAATAAACTAATAACTTTACTTCAGACTGACTGTTAACCAGTGGTTTTTAGGATATCCAGGTGACTGAAAATTACTGTTGGAATTAAAGTTCTCTTCACTAATATTATCATTATAATTACCGCTTATTTAAATCATTGAAAACTGTTTCCATTGTTCACTTATTATCAAAGTTGTTTTGAGGAATTTTATTTTATGTAAGTCACAGTAAGTTTGATAAATTTGCATTCCACAAAATAATAAACAATATGCAAAATGTTTTTTGATGACATGTTTATGAAATCTGCTGTCAAAAATAAGGTGATTTAGCGATGATTAATCTTTGTAGTTTCAAAGTGAAAAGTAAGTAATGTTGTTTGTAATAGAAGCTTCTCAACGCAACTATTTTTACTTTAAATCAGGTTGTTTAATATCACTACTACAACTTCATGATATATAGAACACAAATTTTCTGATAATAATTAGTGAGTGGAAATTTATTGCTGTGTAGGATTCAGACTGTGTCTTAGAATTTCTTATACTGATGTAGTTTTAAGCAACAGTGAACCAACAAACGACGTGTTGCTGAACAAGTAGTCAGAAGAAAATGGAGGAGTACTGGACATACAGTGAAGAGACTTCTGAGTGAAATCACACTCCAGGCCTTTCCAGTGGAACCTAAACGATTAAGGGTATCCGAGGGTGACATGGAAGAGGGCTTGTGAACAGGAAGCGTTGGCTTATGGACAACCATGGATTCAGCTGAAAATGACGGCAGAGGAATGACTACAGTGGTCATGCGTTGCCGAAAGACCTTGTTCCAGTTGACCACTTGAAAATATACCTTGGCTTCTGTGTCTTGCCTTCTGTTGTTACATGTGGTGTCGCTGCCTGCCGACAGATGGAAAGCCTATGTTCTACAATTTTTCATAGATACAAGTGGATCTTCGGGCAATACTTCGAGGCTGTTATGCAGTTGATTGGCGTTCAAAATCCGTCAGCGACGAGGCCGTTACTTGGAACGCTGCTGGGAGGTCGAACGACGGCAGCATGTGACAGCGTGAGGCGAGTCACCGGCAAACATGAGCCAGGGTCATGCAAACTTCTCTCGAAGTGGGAAGGACCATAAATGGTCACCGTGAGACGGGGTCGTGTATATACGATAAGAAAGGCAAATAAAGAGAAGCGGGTGAACGTGAGCGAATGCCGGAACTCGATACAGCAAGACAAGATAACAAAGCCACCAGCCGAAAGCTTTTGACTAAGGGACGAGTGTGTTGGTGTGGCATAGACAACGTGTTCCAAGAAATATTAATCCCACATATTCCCACAGTTCAAATCGGCATTAGCAGCAGAATACGATATATCTATTTGAACATTCTGTTTAATGCTAGAGTCAGAATATTATTCACACAGTTTAATACAGTATTAGCAACAGAATGCTATGTATAGCTGAACATTCTATCTCATGACATTTAATATAAACCAAAATCACAAGCTCAATGATTGGTTATAGAATGTAAACTGTATATACATAAACAGCAGTTTGATCACTTGAAAATATGCCTTGGCTTCCATGTCTTGGCTTCTGTTATTACAGCACTTGTAATCCGGAGAATGTGTAATAATAATACAAAAGTGAAGAAATATATGTGTAAAACTGGGGCACTGTGGTAGTAAGTAATTCCATATTAGTTTGTTTATTAGATTGTTCATAATCATATCAATTAAAATCACATGACTTCGAAACTTCAGTTTTATAGTTTTCTTTGTCCTCTCCTATTTGTCGTATGGGTAGTAGAATTTTCCAGATATCGGGGACAGATGATGAATCATTCCTATTACATGTATTTGTAGTTGATTCGATAAACAAAGCTTCTGTTATCAATCTCTCCCTGCATCCACCCTGCGACATTAGATTTTAAAGCTGTCATCCTATCCCATTCAGCCTATTGTATGGTTGTGTGTAACTGTATGTAGTGCTATAGCTGAACTATTCTCTAGATTTCTTATTTTATTCGGGTCAACCAATCTAGAGTTTGCTAAGTTTTTATGTTCAGCTAGTCTGACTGCCCCTGTTCTACTAGTTTGACCTATGTATTTGACCTGACAATCATTGCAGGCAGGGTATTAGATAAACTAAATTGTTTTGTTTTAAAGGCTCCACAGGATCCTTTAACTGAAAAAGCATGTTTCTAGTTGAGTTTGTGAAGAGAAGAAGTGAAGAAAATTTTCAACAGAATTTCTGAAACAGAAAAGTGTGCACTGTCATAACTTTATTCACTAAAATGTAGGGCATAGTTTGACCAGTATTTTGTTTATTGCTTTACTTTTTCTCCATATTTATACACTTTTCCGAGAATAAGCAGCGATTAACTGATTTTTGGATTCAATATGCACATGGTCTTTAATGTGTCTGTATCATATATATCTGATAAAAAATAAAAAAAGTAGAATTTTAATTCCAGAATGTTTTGAGTACTTTGAAAATTTAGACTGTTGACTGTATTAAAAAGACCAAAGAATATGATAATAGTGACAATAAAAGAAATAATAACAATCCCTGTTACATTAAATTTCACTAAGTTGGGTGTCCGGGAGTGAAATGGAAGAGATCATTTGAAGAGGAATGAAGGTATATGGCCAGTCATGCAGCCAGCTAAAAAAACGTCTGGATAGACTACAGTAGCCTTATGCTCCACTGGGAATCCAAGGGAGTAATATTAATAATTGATTTCAAATCGGAACACTAAAAGACTGACCAAAGAGTTTACTTCTATTTTTTTATTTATTATTCCATTGTGTTCCAAGTGGGACATACGTTTTCAACAACACATCTCCACTTTGTTCTATTTTCTGCTGTTCTCTTCATCTGTGTTCAAGATTGTTCATAATCTTTCATCTCAAAATCTCAAGATCTCCTTCATGTCACTCGCACACTGATGACCCACTCGTCGCTTCACATTGCGCGCGATGTCACTTGACGATTTCCTTAACGTATGCCCTATCCATCTCCATTTTCTCCTAAATATTTGTTGGGCAATCGGCTCTTGGTTGGTTTGTTCCCAGCCAGAGTTTCTTGGTCCTAATTTTTTCTAGACAGACGTTTGATCTTCAATATGGGGCAAGTGAAGGGGGCAGCTGTTTATAAAATTCTGAAGTAGCCTGTTGGAAATGCTTTACGTGACACGCCAAGATTCTCACCAATACAGAAGAATTGACTGACTGAATTAACATTTATATTGAAAATCCGAATCTTGTTGTTTATGCTGGCTGAGTTAGTGCTGAAGGTTTCCAGATAGGTTTCAGGTTGACGAAGGCGTATCTTGCCTCTCCGATTCTGGCTGGCTGGTTAGACATTTTCATCTGTTCCGCCAACCTTTGGTTGAAACTGTGCTTCCTGGCCAAATAAGTGGAGGAAGTGACCTCTGTTAAATATCTCCCGTTGATGGTAGTTGGTGCTGGTTGTTGTTGTTGCTGTTGGCTGGTTATCTTCGTCACCTCCGTCTCGTCTATGTTCATTCAAAGTCCTGTCTTTATTGCCTGCCAACCCCTTCAGCCAATTTGTTGGTTTTTGGTTGCAAGTCTTCAAGTTTGAATGATATTCAACAAATCTCACGTGAGAAATCCAGATCTTCCAGGGTCTTCTTATCGGTAGTCCACTGTGTTCCTGTCTCCTTGCTGCCAACGCACAGTCTGTCGCATAACCCAATCAACCACAATTAAGAATATCATCCTGGGTGATAATTGGCAGGCAGTCTTGTCTTACTCCTGAATGAGTTCTTCGCTGTGGATCACCTGACACATGGCATTGTCATATACCCAGATGCTGACTGAGGTTGGTAAAGACTAGGGCACTGCACGCCGCAGTGTTGTATTGGTTTCCAAATTACTTCTCCATCAACACTGTCGAAGACCTCTTCGAAGTCAATGAAGTTGAGGTAAAGATTTGACTGCCGTTCTATGCTTTGTTCTGTGATGACGATACGTAGAGTTGTAATTTGATCAGCACATGATTCTCCTTTCCTGAATCCATCTTGTTCCGTTTGGTGGAGTTTTATATCCACTGCATACTTCATTCTCCCCAGGATGACGCGACTCAGTATTTTTCTTCGCGTGGACAACAGCATGATTCCTCACCAGTTCTAGCAGAAGCTTAGGTCGCCCTTCTTCGGGATCTTGACCAAGTCGCCTTTTTTCCAATTGGTGGGTACATTTCCTTCACTCCAAACTTTTTGCAATAATGGCGTGAGAAAGTCTGCGGCTGTTTCTGGGTCCTTTTTCAGTGTTGGGGGGTGGAAGAATTCCGTCTGGTCCTGCCACCTTCCTGGCCGGCATTCAATAGCTCGATCGTATTGAAGATTTATGCTTTCGTTTTAGGATTGGTGTCCAGCGGTAGGCGGTTCCGTGTTTGCTGTTGGTAGTATTTGTGGACGAGATGCAGGTGATTTTCGATTCAAGAATCCTTTAAAGTGATCAGCCCACTGTTTTATTTGTTTCTCCTCCTTGATAATTAGGTTCTCTTGAACCAAAGAGTTTAAAGTACCATCAAAGTGAACTTAACTAATTAGGTGATATGCAGTTTTCGTAATTTTCATTTCTTTACGTCCTAAGTGGAACACAGAGATTCGAGTTTTTAGCAGGACTGGTATTATTCTGTTTTACAGGGTGGGGTTACTAGCCTTACACCTAGCCTTTTTTCTTTACCAGGATTACTATCGGCTAAGCGGGGTCTAACAGTGCGTAGGCCGGATAACATGCTTGGCTGGCAAGTATTCTGCTGCTGACCTACTTACGAACGGCGATATATAGTATTATGACATAAATGTATAAAATTATATGAATACATTTTATGATGATAATGTCAAGAATACTAGGGAAAATAATGCTATGAAATGTAGTAGTAGATGGTGCTAACTAATGAAAGAAAGCCGCAGGCTGTATGAGACAGAAAGTAATCTGATTTTTGCTTTTTCTGGTTTCTCTTTCAGCTGAACTCAATGAAAATGAACAAGTATGGATACAAAGCCAATAGGCAAAGTGGTATGTAAAGCTAAGTGATAAATATTGAATATTTTCTGATGAATTATTTTTCTAAAAGGTACATGAACGGTTAACATAGCATTTTTAAAATTGTTAAATGATGCATTAATTTCTCTGACAGATATTGAACACTTCCACACCATATCGTCTCATTTCGTCTGAGATCTGGTCAGCCTAGAACATGGAACCGCAGTTATTCCACGTCCCTAGGCTTACTTATGCCTTCACTGAAAGATGATGTACTGGTCAAAAGATTTATAGAAGGCTTTCACCTGCTGGAATTATCCCTCCTTGAATTGAGGAGTCTTTTCCTTTCCAGTGGAGAATGAATTAATTTCTTCTGTGCTTTACAATTTCAGTAGCAATGGGTTTTTTGTTTTAGTGGGCACGATTACTAGACTCACGCCCCACCTCCTCTGTTTTCTCAGCTTAGAATTGAGTAGTAACTTAGTCAGAGTTTCAGGATTAACGATTCTAACTGAAGACAACTGTATACTGCGTATATAAAGGCAAATCTTCCTCTGTTTCGCTTATTAAAGCCAGTATCCCTCAAGAAGCTTTTCTTTCTTCTTTTCTGTTTTCTTTCTACTTATACAACGTGTTTCTTGCGAATGAAATAAACGTTGTCAAAATGCTACTGATCTGACTGTCTCGTTGCTGGTTACATCCCAATCTGATTGTTCCATAATGAATGGCGTTTTGTTGGACATAAACCAGTGATGCAAGTTTATAGGTTTCATATCAATTATCTCTAAATATGATTTACAAGAACTTGTTCATTCACATGATGCTTGTAGCATAGCATAGAGGACAATGAAGTAGAAAACAATTTAAGCATTAAATACCTGGGAATAATAATTCGCTCTGACATCTTTTGGTCATCTCATATCTTGTCGATTGATAAGAAAATGTCCTGTCTGACTGTCTGCATTAAGAAGTTAAAACAATTAAGTGGGTGTCACTCAACGTCTACTTTTACAGTTTGTTGGCTCTTGCGTCTTGTCTATTGTTTTTGATTATTGCTCACCCTTAGTCTTCCCTTGGCTACTCAAAAAGGACGATGTGATATTGATGAGAGGGGAATTGGAGGTTGTCAACAGCGTAGATGGTGCATCACTACTAAGTCAGCTCGTTGGTACTGTAGTCGACAGACTTCTGAACTCATGTGAGCAGTGGTCCAAATTCATATTGTCTGACTCTCAGCAGGCTGTCTATTTACATCTATCCCTCCCCCTTGAATGCCATCAGGTAGGCGGAGTAAAAGTCATTAATATTGAAGATATTCTCGCACAATCAAACTGAACAATACCTGCATTCTGTGTGATGTGGAAAATGTTAAGTGTGAAGTATATGACAACTTTCTGTGTAGTTAAGGAAATAAATGGTTCTTTTATCTTCTTCTAATTGTAATATATGTTGACATCATTTTTGTCATCAAAATAAAGTTTATCCATTACGGAATTATACTCTACCGCAGTGCCCAAGTTCTTTACTTTTGGTATTGTGTTTTTTGAGTAAATTAAGTGCAGTATTTTATGAAATGCTGAGAATTCTTTATTCTATCATTGGCACTGTTTTAGAATAAAGTAAATCATTATTATTATTATTATTATTATTATTAATACGAGATTTTATGATTCACTCCAGTGTATATTTGCAAATAATTCTATTGAAAAGTAATAATTTATGATTAGTTGATTCCAGCTATAAAATTTATGGAGAAACTTTTTAATATTAGGTAGCCTGCTGGTTTGACTGTCACAACATTAGTTAATAGTTTTTATAATGTAAAAGATTGATCATGCCTAAATAAATACGGTGCATAAACAACTAGCGGATCTTCAATAAAATGAAATTTTAAGACGTTTAGCTAATTATAATGATAGACAGCGTCTTACTAAGGCCGATGCAACATTAAACTGTTAGTTTACCTATCTTGTAACTGCCTTATTTTATGTTTGTATGTTTGTGTGAGTGCCAAAATAATGTTATTTATTTTATGTGTATAATCCTGGTCAACACGATTCTTACAGTAGAATTTTATTTTCATTTTATTGTGACTGATGATGGCTGTTATCCGAAAGTAGGATATGCATTCTATCCTGTTTCAGACTCGTCAGCCACATGTGTCTGGAACTCCAGGAGTATCTTGCATGGTGTACTAAATAATTCACTAGAAAAGAAGATTAAATAATATTAATTTGAATCACCGAAAATACCAAGTGAGTCAGGAAGAAAATAAAATAAAAATTCAGCAAAGAAAATTTTCTTCATCGACAAAATCATCTTCAGAGGCTGTACAGTCGTATTTATATTTACCAAAAATGTAAAGTACTTTATTATTGAGTAATAGAGGGGCAGGTGACATAATTGATATAATTACTGAGAAGTGGCTTCAAAAGTAAATATAAAAGTTGTAAATTACGTATCACTCAACAACGGCACAAAGGAAGAAAGGTTTAGAAATTTGATAAGCTTAAAATTGTCATTGAGTGAGAATAAAGGTAGTTGAGTGTCAATTTAACAAGTGTGAAGAGGGTGTGAAAATGTAAAAAAGGAACATATGACAGTGACAATAGTGACTTAATTCTTAGAGTAAAAGCAAACTAAAAGTAAAATCGAAAATTAAAAAAAATAAAACTTTTTACAGGGAACAACTAGTGAAGAGGTTAAGAACATGGTAGAATAAGAGACTGGGTAAGCCTTTTCTGTATACAGAATTCAGGGTTGTATTGACGGATCACCAACGCCTCCACCATACACAAATGCCGAAACCTGCGCTCTTTGTACCACTTGGTCCTACCTTGCTGAGAATCTTGAAAGATGACTCTGATGGTGCTACGTGACTTGAGTTCACCAAGTGGTCAGGAATTCAGCCAGTAACTGTCTTGCAATGTCTTTTTGCTAACCATGCCGGATAATGCCCAGAGATGTGTTCGGAAAGTGTGCGCTTTATACGGCCAATACAACTAGCTCTGCACAAGCAGGTGAATTTACAAACACACCGTGAAATGGCCCAAAGCGCATTTTATCCTTCACACATCCATTGATTACTTATCGACTGTAGAAATCGATCCGTCGCTCAGCGGAAAAGAAGGCTTTTCTCAGATGCTCTTGAGAACCTCGTCTGCGGTATCACCTTCAAATATGACTTTCATGAATAGCAGTATTTTCGTCACCCTCTGGGTTCTTTCGAGATTTTGCTTTACCTTCATGTTTTTCTCGATGAATACTGAGGGATATCCACTTTCCATGAGGACCCGTCTGAGTATCTCCAGTTCGATGTCAGTTCGCCATTGATTGTATCACTAGTACATATCCTTCTCATCTTCTTGAGAATAACGAGTGGATAAGACTTCTCTTTCTTCTCAAAAAAATACAACTATTAAAATTCTTGTACTGACCATTCCATATTGGTTTCCTGTTGATCGATCTTTGAAGAGAACCATCAGATCTCATTTTTTTTAAGAAAAAACATGCAAAAAATGGAATTCCAAGTTCATCTCTGATTCCCGTGTGAATTGGATGGCATTATGGCAGCTTTTAAACTCTTTAGTTATCAATTCAATGTCGGTATTATAGTCACACACGATAAAAGTAGCATCCATGTATCTTTGGTACAAATGGAAAATATCGATATTGGACCGTAACATAATTTGCTCTACTCTAAAACACTACTTGTGATACAGTGTGGAATTCTCAGCATTTGGTACAATATTATATCTAATTTACTCAACAACAGCAAACATAAAAAGTAATAATAAAGGGTATGCATAACCGGAATTATTAATGGTAGCTTCTTGTTATTAGCCGTAACAGTAAAGTCAAAAATGCACAAAGTGTAGACTGACGATAGTGATGTTATTAGTTAAAATTAAAAGTTAACTGAAATAATGTTACCATAGATTACAAATAGGAAAGAGTAAAAGAACTGACTATTTCGTCAATAACATAGTAAGTTGTATGTTTTATGCTTAACACTATCTCTATCACATAGGACATTGGCAAAATAAGGTATCGCTGAGTTTTTTGTTGCTTGGGTAGCGCAGCACGTAATCTTTTATAATGATTCCTAGTCCTACCTGATGAGAGAATGTAGAGGGTATTGTGAGTCAGACAATATAGATTTGGATGATTTCTCACATGAGTTCAGGTGTCCTTCAACTACAATAGTAACTAGCCAACTTGGTTGTAGCACAGCACTGGCCCAACTGACAACCTTTAATAACCTTTGCAGTATGACATTGTCCTTTTTAAATAGCCAAAGAAAGACTGAAGGAGAGCAGTAAAGTACAATATTTAAGACACAAGAGTTAACAAACAGAACTGATTTCATCCGAAAGAGGTAAGTCATGTAAGAAAAAAGAAAAGTATAGAGAACAGCACCCTTGGGGAATCCAGCTTCACTGAGCAAGGCAGAAGAAGATTTGCCCTCCTACAGAGTATACTACATGCTGTTAGAGAAATAAGAATTTAATCAGCTGACAGCACATCACTCAGTTTGTGTCAGGAAAAACATATTTAAAGATAGGCATCTGTACAGTTAAGATAAGTGCATCGGGAATATTCGGCCCTTATGTTTAAACAGGAAAAGAATATGACATGCTGGAAGACAGAAGCAGCGGCACTTAAAGTACTTCTGCCCTGTTTATAAACACTGTTTTGTGTCGTTAAAACCTTTCAGGGAGGGCTCAAGTTTAGGTTACAGTAATTTCCACAATAACTCCAAAAAGGAGAGGTAATTGCAATAGGTCCAAATTTAACATTATTATGAGAACATGACTTGGGTATTGGGATTATTTTGCTATCTTTCCATGTTGCAGGGACAACATTATTGGAAAAGGAAGTATTGAAAATGTTTGTATGAGGCTAACATAAAATATTAGCACATCTTCTAAGGACAGCAGCATGTACACAATCACGACCAAGGCTTTGAGAAGGTTTCAGAGATTGCAGACATTTGAGGATGTCAATGGTGCTAAAACATGAAAGTCACTAAT